TGTTGTGTAAAATACCTCGGTTCCCATTTCCTCAAAGTGGGAAAATAATCTCTGCTTTACAAGACTTACGAGATTTAAATGAGATTATATTTGACACTGCTCAGCCAAGCCTATGGCATGTACCAGCACCCCAAAACCTAAATACATTGAGCATAATGACATTTATTTTGAAGAATGAATGAAAGATTCGAAACATATGAGAGGCCTTTTAAGCTGTAAAGATTGGGGGAAGGAGAATGTGAGTTTGTTTCCTTTATTAACCCCACTGGCTGCTCCCCACAGAAGGTCCAGCGTGCAGGATGAGGCTCTCTCTCCCCTGGGGCAAACCATGCTTGTCTTTGTGCAGGAAGCTGGGAAGGGAGCGACTGGCTAGAGGTCCTGAGATTTTCCTTTCCTCTGTGCTTGCTTTGCCCTGATGTCTGCAGGGAGTTATTCACAGGGTCACCCCCAGATGCTGCAGTCCCACTCTTTGGTGGAGGGAAGACTTCTGGAGAGGGAATTAGAGCAGTCAACACTGCAGCCAAGAGAGCAGAGATGCAGGCACAGCGGCACAGTTTCTGTCTCTGACAGTCAGTGATGGAGCTGAACAAATGCGGGCTCAGAATTGGGCGGACCAGAGTTCAAATCCAGATACTGTCCCTCTGTGGCTGTGCGATGCAGTCCCTGCTCTTACTGAATCCTCAGTGTTTTTGCCTGACAAATGGGAAAATAATCCTCCTAGCGGATGCAGTTGTGGTACAGGGCATGGAAGTGATATGTATAAAGAGCTCATTTCAGCCCCTGATAAGGAGGCAGAGCCAAACAGACGTGCTTTATTACTCTTGGGAAGATGTGGGACAATAACATCCGCCTCTTCAGCTGGTAGGAAGGTTGGATAAATTGCATGTGGAACACCTCCACAGGGGCAGGCATGGAGAGAGTGCTTGGGAAATGATAGTTCCTTGTGCCATTAATAATTTTAATTTTAGCAATAATAGTGTTAATTACACTTGACTAACAATCCTTGAATGTTTCTATAAGCTTAAAGACAAGCAGGTTTAAATGATGTATATAAATACCACTGGGAAGATTTCTCCTGCAAGAGCCAGGTGTCTAAACAATTTATTGGCACAAAGCAAAAAAAGAAAATACAAAGAGAAGGGGAGCTATGTGGAGCCCGGTGCCCACGATTCTGAGGATGGTCTGGGCGTGGTGCCCAGGGAAGTCTCCACGCTGAGGATGGCACCACATTTTTTCAGGCAGAGAAAAATGTTAATTGGAATAGGGTTATGGGACGGGTCAACCTGGGGGTAAAACCAGACATGGTTTCATTTATTTTCCACTGCTGTCATCTGAGGTCTGTCCAAATCCACTTTCCTATATTGCATTCATAATTCTGTGTGTTTTTGGTTGCTTTCAGCCATGAGGATAGACTCCACCCAGTACTTTAACCTCCTTGTCCTAACCATGTACTGCATGATCCCTACTAACCTTGTTGTATGACTTTTCCAGCAAAGCCCTGTCTTCAGAGATCAGGGGAGAAGTAGGCTGTGGTTTTCATTTTCCTAAGTTTCCAAACTCTAAGGTACATGTTTCAAGCATTTTCTTACTATGTCCCTGCACATCAGAATGATCTTGGGCAGGGATGTCAAACTCTGCAGCTCAGTTGTCAGCAGGCCAGGAAATAAGATGTTGTATTGGTTAGCTATTGTTACAATAATGCTGCATAACAGCTATCCCATCAGCTAAGCAGCTCTGCTTCAGGCTATACCAGTAGAAGAGCTAGCTGACTGAGCCCAGGTTTGTTGGGCTGTTCTGGTCTATGTGTCTGTTTCCTCTGAGATGAGGGGTCCACTCGGGGCATATTCATGTCAGGATGACAAGAGTCACCAGGGAACACCTCCAAGCATTGTGCCCTCATACAACTTTGTCCAAATGAGTAAAATGAAACAAGGATTCTCCTTGAACATCTCTTTCCTTACATCAGTGTGGATATTATTCCTTAAAAGTGACCCAGAAGATTTCTTTCAGCATTTCGTCTGCCGGAACTGGGTCCCATGTCCATCCCTGAGTGGATCTCTGGAAATGGGAAAGAGATGACCATGATGAGCTTCACAAAATGCTTGTTGAGTGAATGTTTCAGTAGAAATGAGTAATTCCCCTTTACGTTCCAGTGTCACTTCTGGGAACAAGCAAAATATACCCAGGTGTAGGGTGACTCCATAAAGAGAAATGACTAGAGGGGAAGAAAATGGGTCTGTGTTCCTATTTTGTTGTTGCATCCTTTCAGAAATACTGAGTGACCATTCTCAGGGATTGGGGGCTGCACCAGAACCCTTCAAGGGTGGGCTGCTCATTTTATAGTCAATAAAATAAAAGCAGTTATAGTAAGGGACTTAATAATAATTAGAATAATGATATGGTATAATTAGCTATTACTAATACTTAAGGAGAACCAATTAAGTGCTACATACCTTTCTAAGTGCTTTGCATATATTATGTATTATTATATATTGTTCATGAAGATTGATGTCAGCACCTGGCCTCCATGAATTGTGCTTTTTGATATTCATACCCTCGTGTGATCCCCTCCCACGGTGATCCTGGGCTTGGCCACGCACTCCAACTCGCTTTCGCTGCTGGCTGCAACATTAGCAAGTGTGGTGTGAGCAGCAGAATTCTCTTTGGGGAGTCAGCTGCAAGAGCTATAAAGGATTGGGCAGAATGGTAAAGGATTATGGTCATATCCATTCTAGCCCTGGGGAACTCTCAGAGGCTGCAGCCTCCTAAACAATCTTTCTCAAAGTCCTGAGAATGAATCAATCAACATTGTTTCCAGCCACCGAGTTCTGGGGTGGCTTGTTACACAGCAGTAGAAATCAAAGTGATTGCTACAACCAGTGTGTACGAATCCCTCGGACAATTTATGTGAAGAGTTTCCTTTTTCCGTCTTGCTACTTGAGACCAGAAAAGCCGAGGGTGGAGGATGAGCCTCCTGAACTTCAGTCACTCATGTAACACATGTTTACTGAGCGACTCTTCTGTTTCAGTCCAGTGCTCACAGTGCCAGGGATAGCATGGGGAATAAACGTGATGCTTTTCAGTTTAGGACACAGCCATCCTCCCTGGTGCCTCTCTGGGAGGATTAGTAGAGGTCCCCCAAATGTATCATGCTTCCTCCATAATGCACCATGTGCCTACCCTCCTTGGAATCTGATATTAATCTTTGGTAATGCTAATGACAGGGGCCCTTGGCAGACTCTGAAATCAGACTTAACCTGGTCTCAACTCATCTTGCCCTCCCCCACCTCCTTCAAACCTCAGCTTCCCGATCTTTAAATGCATTCTCTTTGGAAGCCTCCACAGGGAGTGCAGGAACACAAGTGCCCAGAGACGTGCATGTTTTCCTCTCTGCCCGCACGGACTGAACACCTACATCTGACTGCACCGCGGTCTTAGAGGTCAGTTCACAGAGGTCTGATCTGTACCCCTTTCTGATTTCCAGGACTCTGAATTTTGAATGGCTGTACTGAGCACCCTGGACCAGACCTGACCCATGGAGTCCTGCCCTAGGCTCTTGGGAACATTACTTCAATTATTCTTTGCCCAGTGCCTCCGGGGTAGGTGTCCTGAGCCTCGCTTTACAGTCAAGATAATCAAGGCTTAGAGAGCAGAGATGACCTTTGCAAGGTTATAAAGAAAATTGGGGGTCGAGCCAGCCTTAAAGCCCAAGTGCACGACCTGCTGTTGAAGCCCCTTCTAGGTTTTTAGACTGTTTCCTGCAGCACCCCCTCACCCAGGGCCCCATGCCGCACCCCAAAGATGCTGGAAAAGTGAGACCCAGAGCACTGTCAAGGAGGGAGGCACACAGGCTATTGTCTTCCTTGCCCCTGTGAGCATAGGCGGCATTAGCATTCACCCAGGAGCCGCTGAAATCCACTCAGCTGGAACTGAGACTTGCGCGAAAGGGACTGACCAAATTTGTTTACAGTGGGTAATCCTGCTCGGGCTCTCACTCCACACAGCCCGGCTTTATGAGTGGCGAGAAAGTCTAATTACAGGCTGACAGCCTGCACTGTCTCAGGGGAGGACAAATCTTGAATAAAAGTATTAAAAGAGACTTGAATGGCCTGGAATATATGTATAAATGTATGTGTGTGTGTGTGCATGCATACATTATGCATATATATATTTTAACCCAGATTTGCCATTCCAAGGGATTTCCTAGATCAAGATTAGAGAAGTGAAAGACTTCCAACATTGAGGTCGCAGAGATGAGCCAGCCCTGGGGTAAGGACGTGACAGTCTGGAGAAGCCAGGTGACTGCCCCTCGGTCACACTGTGTGCTCCTGGGACAGCTTGGATTAGGAATCCAGGGCTCAGCACCGGGGCTCTGAGTCCCGTCCGCACCTCCTACCCCGAGGTGCCCTGTGTGTGGCAGGGGCACGGCCCCGAGTGGCTCCCTCTGCCTCTCCCTCCTGTGGTATGAAGTGTGCGTCGGACTCTGGGAGGCACCGCTTGTTCCTTTAGCAGCGTCTCACTGTCCGCGGTGATGGAAGCCATCCTAGTTTTAGCATAAACAGGAAAAGCAAACCCACAAGGCCCGGCCCTTGCCTGTCCTCTGCCCAGCTGCCCATCGTCCTGCTCATCCTGCCCATGGCATGCCCCCTGCCCATCAGGCTCCTTCTCTTCTTCATGGCTCTGCTCGTGCTGCTTCCGGGTTGGCGTGCTTGCTCTCCCTTCTCCTCTGCCTAAGGGAATGTTGGCGCCAACCGTTCTCCTCACCCCCTGCCCTGGTTCCTTCAAAGCCCAAGTCACACAGGTGCAGCCATTCCTGGGTGCTCCCAGCTCCGTCCGTGGCTCTCCACGGCTGCCCAGTCCTGGACATGGTGCCGTGCGACAAGCAGGGGCTGACTGTGGCATCACGGGGTATGTAGTACCTTCCAGTGGAGGGAAGCAATGGAAGCCCTCAATGGAGGGAAAGCAGCAGCTGATTGACTGCCCTGCACCCCAGCATAGTCATGGAGTGTGAGTCCACAGTGGGTAACCTGAGCGTGGCCAGCCCGTTCAGAGTTCTGCTCTGCCAGTCGACCCATCGAGTCACCTCGGGTGTGAGACTCAAAGCCTACAGTATGGTAAAGGGCCTTACTTTGTTTCTAAAAAAAAAAAAAACCCACATAAAAGCAGCACATATGTGTTGGCCTGCTGTGTCAGTTTCTTGTGAACCCTTGTACCATTACCGACCCCTCCAATAGCCTCCTGGCACAGAAGTGCCACAGAAAGTGGCTGTGAAGAGAGAACCATGGCAGAAAGGGCAGGAGGGAGGGGATCACACAGAGAAAGACATCCATCATGATTTTGCCTTGAAAGACACGTCCCCACAGGTCAGTTCAGCAGACACTGATGAAGCACTTTGTGTGTGTGTGTGTGTGTGTGTGTGTGTATCCACGTATGTATAAAACTTATACATACTTTAAAACCTACTGACCATCAAACGTATAATTCAGGAGGGGTGATTAAGGCAGAGTGGGGGAATGATTTGCCCAGAGTTGCACAGCTGGGTAATGGCGTTAGGATTTCAATCCAGGGAGGTTGGATTTAAAAGCTGAAGTCTTCTATAACTGCAAAAAATGTGTACATCATGGGCTCTGCCTTCAGGGCAGGGGGCGAGGAGAACGGTTGGCGCCAACATTCCCTTAGATCACAGAGAGTAGAGAGAGCACACAGCAGACAGAGAGCTCTGCACAGCATTGGGAGGGAGAGACATGGAAGAGGCAGGAGAAGGTAGTTTCTCCAGGAGTGACCCAGGGTGGCCTGCGCTTGGTGACCACAAAGAGCCCACTTCTAGGTGGTTTTAGTGCTCACCCTGAGCGCCGTTGCGGCCTGCATGAGAGGCAGATGGGTCTGCCCAGTGCAGACAGCTTGTTCACCCACTGACTAGCATTACCTATGCAAAAAGACTCCAGTCCGGGCACAGCCCTGGCTTCTGGGGGGTCACAGGACTCACAGGTGGGATAAGGGACAGCCCCCTCCTCCATGGCTTTTGGAGAGGGAGGTGTGGCCAGGCTGTATGGGAACAGAGGGGGGGCTGCCCTGTGCCAAGCTGTGGGGGAAGGCACCAGAGAGGATACACTTGGCCGACAGATACAACCTAGAAAATTTGATCTGGTTTAGAATTGACTCTGCTTTTTATTGCAGCCCAGTTCCAAGACGGATTTCCCAAAGGACCACCCAGATTTGGCCAGAGCTGCTTGCAATGCTGAATGCCTTCTTTGAGAATAGATCTTTAATTTCTACTCTCATGAGCCAGACGTGGAAACCCTCTCATCCCACCCCCTTCAGTGCAAACACAAAGCTCGAGATGAAGTGGAAAGCAGTAGGCATGCATTAGCTCATCCGGTGTGAAGCTGCTGATTGAGCCCAATCACGTAACCCAGCCCCTCTTCATTTCCACAGGATAACCTGCCACTAGGGTCTGTTGACTGCAGCCAGAGGCAATCAGGAGGAAAACAGATACAAGGGATGCACAGTATTACAGAGAGGAGAAGGGAGGCGAGGAGGGCTCTGGCAGAAGATGTTCAGGTGCCTTCTCTAGACTCTGCACCAGTGCTGGGCTTAATATTGTGTAGGCTTTTCTGTGAGGAAGTAGAATACATCACACAGCCCAACACATGCACACATGCACACGTACACCCAGATGCAGACACACTGCAAACAGATCCGTACAACCAGATACTCAGCCATCTCTGTTGACGCTGACCAGGGAGCTCCTGAAAGAATCATCACCTGCTCTGGCAATGGTGAGATGGCCAGGCCAAGTCCAAGTTGCCACTGAATTCCTCCCAGAGTTGTAGACTCTGGAGGTGGCAGAGATGGGGAGGGAGCCCCTCCAGCACTTTGTCACAGGGCTCCACAACGGCTCCTGCTGGTCGAATCTGCCCACCAGGGAGGCTTAAAATCAGTCCACAGTGCATCCATCCTCCTCCTTCCAGATGCACGCTTTCACCCCTCTTCCCTGTTCTTAGTACTTAAACAGAACTCCCATGCAAATAAAGAAGAAAAATAGATACCAGGAGGGTGGTGCACTGTTCCGGTAAAGCAGAAATAGCTGTTCAGAGTTCCCACTTGTGCATGCATTTCCTCAGTGACTGTTTAGCCTTGTCCTCTTAGGTAAGTGCTATTTTACCCATTTCCACAGATGAGGAGCCCAAGGCTAGGACACAGTGCTTGGTTAGAGGCACTTTCTGACCTGGAGCTGTCTTTCCCTCCGGGAAATCTCTTCCTTTGTATTACATTTGCAGAACTTAGGCCTCCTGTTTGGATTGGGCCCAGCACAGGGGAATGGGGTGCAAAACTTCTAAAAGCTTTCCAGACGGAACAGACCTGGGTGTCACCCCATGGTGGCGGGCTGTGCCAGCACAGGACATGTTCTTTTCGGAGGTCATAACTCATAGGCTGATTTAGATAGTACAAAATGTCCCCATGCGACAGGCAATGCATTTTCAAAATGAATTGCTATCTCGCTGTCTGTTCTGCATGGTGTTCTATAACTATCTATCTTTGATAGCAGAATGCTACAATTAAGGTGAAATCCACATATGCAAAGCTAACAAGTTTTTGGCATTGCTCGTTCATCTTTGAACGTGTTTGGCTGAGAGCACATGGGTGCCCCGCCCCCACCCCAGCATGCCCTGTGTGTGCGCGTGTGCACCATAGACACATGTGTCCTCACAGGTGCATGGAACAACTCCATCTGACTTCAGCTCAGCTCAGCTCCCTTTTGATTTCATCCTGTGATCTTCTCTGTTCACTTCATGTTTCTTCCTTTTCCCCTGGAAATGATACTTGCCCAGCACTAAGATGTAATGGACAGAGGACTGGACTTGGTGCTAGAAGACCCAGCCTTAGTCCTGACCAAGTGCTTAACACCCAAACAACCAGGCCAAAAAATGTCCATCCAGTCTTGCAGTGGGGCAGATGATAAATCCATGGCTCTGATACGCACCAGTTTTATGATTGTGGGCAAACTACTGCATTCTGAATCTCAAGCTCCTCATCTTTGAAACTACATTAGCATTAGTAGCCTTGCAAGATGACTCTGAGGCACAGAGCCCGCGACTCCATCTGTCTTTGTTCCCTTTTCCTCCTCAACCACTGTGTCCCTGACTCTCAAGATTCTCTTCAGTTTAATGATGTTTATCTGACAAGATTATTTTGAGGATTAAAAGGGAAAATATACCTGAAAGTATTATGAAGTAGTAATTTATTTTTAATCGACTCATTTGCTTATTCTATCAACAAATATTTCTTATTAAAGTTTCATTAGTAAGTGACATGGGTGATTATAAAGAAGAATGAGACACAAAACTTAATCTAAAAGCCTAAAGAATCTAAATCTAAAGAAAGATCCATTCTCCAAAGTTATCCCATTCTCTCAGAAAAACATAATATAAGGCAAAATTAAAAGTGCTGGTAGTATGCGTATGATGTTTCAATAACAAGGAAATTCCTTCCAAATGGAGCTATCAGCCACCTAAGATAGACCTGATTTTGAGAGGACACAGGGCAAAAAGTTAGGGGTTCAAGGATCAGAAGAGTCATTCCGGGGAAGGGCCCAGTGTGAGCACAGGCAGCACAGTGACAAAGTACAGGAAAGTATATGCCCAAATATCAGAGAAGAAACAACCTAAAGGAGGAAATATTTATTTATGTTTATGGTTTAGGGGCTTCAGTCCATGGCTGGCTGGTTCTAAGGTAAAAACAGCATGGTGTAAGGCTGTGGTGGAGTAAAGCTGGTTGTCATATGGCAGCCAGGGAGCAGAGAGAGCAGGGAAACCAGGGAGAGAGGAAGAGGCTGGGTACACCCCAGTGAACTTCTTCCCCCAGGTAGGGTTCATTTCTTAATAAGCCCATTGAGCTATAAACTCATCAATAGGTTAATCCACTGATGAAGTCAAAGCCCCACCCCTGAACATATTGCATGAGGTATCAGCCTTCAATACCTGAATGTTTGGGGGAATACTTCATATTTCCATATAATGGAGGAAGAGGAAGCTTATGTCCCATGGGGATGGTTTGAGGACTGTAGGAGACGGGGTTGCAAAGCTGGGCTGCGACCCATTTGTGGCGGAATTTGGACTTGTAAATTTGCAAACAGTGGGAAACCACTGAAAGCTGCTGAGCAGGACAGTGAGCTAGAGCCAACTTTCTTGAAGGTGAATCCAGCAGTGATGTAACAGGAGGTTTGGAGTGAGGACTAGGAATCAGGCTTCAGAGGGGGAAATGAGGACTGATCGAGGCAGTAGGGAAGGAAAACAAAACAGAGGAAGGATAGAACTGGGACTGTGCTGGGAGAGCTGACTAGTGGTGAAGGAGGGGTCCTGAATGCCGATGAGGTCTTGGGTAAGGAGGAGCGTTACTCACCGAGGAACTTTCAGGAAGGAACTAGTTTAAGAAAGTCAACACTTTAATTAGCCTGCACATGAAAAGGAGAAAATCAATCCACCCGAGTTTCAAGGGTAGGGGAAGCCAGGCAGACCTCTCCCCGGGAAGTGCTTCTCAACTCAGGTACCACTGATATGTGGGGCTGGATAATTCTTTGCTGTGGAGACTGACCTGTGCAGTTTATTAGCAGCATCCCTGGCCTCTACTCATGAGGCGCCAGTAACAACTCCCTGAGCTATGACAATCATACAGGCTTCTACGCACTGATAAAGTTACCCTGAGGGCACCGCCACTTCCTGTGGAGAACACTGTGGTTGGGAGATCCGCTCCCCATGGGAAAGCTATGGAAGGGGTAGGGACCCTGAGCTCCACTCCAGGGACTCTGTGGGTTTGTGTCGAGTTTTGTCCACGTTTGGGACATGGGCAAAACACATGGTTTTGAGAGAGCCGGGCGTCTTGATGTGCACTCTGAGCTGGCCCAGGGGTGTACAGATGTATCAGTTGTGACTGAATTCCTCTGGAGAAAGGAAAAAGAGCAACTTTCCAAATGGTTATAAGTATGGGGGAACCAAGGTCAAGCGAAGAGAGGTGGGAAGAGGAAAAATGCAAAAGTGGCGGACTCCAGGAATCTGCACTGGTGTTTATTTCAGTTTGGACCTCTGAGGGGAACAAATTTGTAACATCAGTTGTC